AGATTGATGGTGACAGCGAGATAAGACTTTTCAGCCCATTAAGTCATATACGTCTTAACTCAACACCACAACTGGACCTCATCAGTATGACGATAGCAGTGCGTAAGGAAAAGAAAGAAAAGGGAGAAAAAGAAAAAAGGAGGAGAGAAGGAGGAAATGAAAGAAGACAGAGACCGAAAGAGAAGACAAATAAAGGGGGAAGAGAGGAGGAGGTGGAAAAACCTTGCAATCCTGTGGAAAAGATGCTATACAAAAACTCGACGCGCTATGTTTGATGAAATCTAGGTAAGCGTCAGCATTAACAGTCTCAAAAAATGTCTAAAAAAATGAAAGTCGAAGTTTCAAAAGCACAGTAACAGAAACTCAGTGCGTTACAATGTGAATTAATGGACTTACAGCTCGGAGGTTTCGATATTCCTCGATGTCCCTTCGATAGTTGTTGTGTAAGCAGTTGCAAAACGAGTGATTATCTGGAGAAGAGTACTTGCATAATCCTGCACAGGTTCACCATACGAGTTGAGTAATGTCTGGCATTGCGCTATTAGAACATTTACCCGAATTTTCAATTGCGGAAGACATTCCCGTATGTGATGCATTAGTAGCTGAAAAACAAAATAATCCTTGCAATGTGAGCAATGAGTTTCGAAAGTCAAAACTGTCTTTTTCCATACTGTTGTGAAAAAAAAAGGCAAAAATTAACGAGTAAGTGCTCATTTTGTTGAGAACTATAATAAAGATCTATAGTAAATTAGTAACCCCCACGAAAAAAATAAACATTCAAACATCTTTTGAGGATAAAAACCAAAAAGCACTGGTGGAGCGGAAGGCAGAATTTAGATTAGTTCAAACGATGGCTGAAACTAAGAAAGATCAGGAGACCACATAGATATCCGGCCTAAATCCGTGGTACCGCCCAGAGATGATAATATCGCTATTATGAGAGCATTTAATTTGAAAGAAAAAAGAACTCTCTTGAAGAAACAAGCATCTTAAATGAATTCGTTGGGCGGTACCACGGATTTAGGCCGGATATTGATATGGCCTCTCGGTCTTTCTTAGTTTCAGCCATCGCTTAAACTTATCTAAATTCTGCCTTTCCCTCTACCACTGCTTTTTCGTTTTTATCCTCAAAAGTTGTTGATTGTTTAGTTTTTGCGTGGCGGTTACGAATTTATTATAGATCTTTTTTACAGTTCTCAACAAAATGAGCACTCATTTGTCACCGAATTTAGGCAATTACACTCTCTCCGCAAGAGGCGAAAGTACTTCAAAGTAGCACTGACTGTAGCACATGCTAATAGCAAATGCTTGCTGGCAAGACCGCTGGTTGCTGTTTCTTTCAAAGGATGCTTGCAAGCAAGCTAATGACTGTTTCGACCTCCTACTACGCGACGGTACCAATTTAGCATAAAAAGCATAATTGCCGCACTGGCAAAGTCAAATCCTCAACAATCAACATAATAGCAGCACTACTGACCAGTGCGCGGCATCTGCTAGTTTCTTCCAATGAATCACGCATATCAAGAAGGAGGAAGGAAGATGAAACAAAGCGCTTACTCTGTTTAATGTCTTTGAGAGATAAGGAATTCCATTTCGGCTGGCCAATGTGGGATATTTGCGCTGCAAGAAGGACTGCTCGTCACGCAGACAATCATCAATCGTCTTCTTGCTCACTATATCAGCTTGCGATCTGAATGTGATTGATCAGATTCAGGAAAAGAGGAGAGGGACAATAAATGAAAGCAAACTGCAACATTAGGGTGAGGAACAGACCTGTTCACCACACCTATAATGCCAAGCTTTACTGGCACAACACGCCCCAGAATCACATCCATGGCATCTGTCCCATGATCCATCAGGTCCAGCTTGGTAAGCACTGCAAGCGTCCGACAACCTATAATTTTTGAGATGAGAATAATTTTGGAAAAATGACGAGATAGTTTCAGTATCTCTGATGAAAAGCTGAATCATTAGCGCTTTACGGATGATAATCGGTTTCACTGTGAACAATGCTCGCAAAATCAAAGAAATAACACTGGAGCTCAATGCACGAAGGAAAAGGGCCTCAAAACCAAAGCACCGAAAACGAAAATAAGTACGCCAGCGGGCAGATAACAGGCAAAGTACATTGAAACTGACATTTACGTCTACCTCGATCAGGAATTAAATGTTGAAACAGCAACAGCAAGACAGAACACTATTGGCTGGCGAAAATCTCGCATACTGACGAAGAATACCCACAACAAAAACAAAATGCATCGGACACACACACACACACACACACACACACGCACACAGATAACCCCGTGACAATATGCTTTTTCTGCGGGTTTTTCGCAGCACAAAATGCATAAAAAATCATTCAAGCAGCCTTATTAGAGGTAATGCGCGTAAGTATCATAAGTGACGAGCACTAATTGGTTGGGATGTAACTAAGAACAGAATGTTTTGCGCCAGAAGATGCCCCAGGTGCTTAA